TACATAAACTGAAAATTTTATTAAATGAAATATAATTTCATTGAACGATAAGACTAACATCACCTCACACATAGCGAAGCAATTGTGCAAAAGGAATTTGCTTGTCTAAAGAACTATTTGAAAAAGAATTAGAATACTATACTCGCATTTTCTATTCCAATGGCTATCCGTTAAACATTGTAAGAAAGTGCGTATCAAGCTGAATGAGAACTACAGTAATAAAAAATCTTCCAGCTCTAAATAAAAAACCAACTTTACTTTTCTATGCCTTATTATGGTGTCCCCTCAGTTCGTCCTAGAGTTTTTTTTCTCAATTCGTCCCAGATATCTATACGAGCGCCTGAAAATAAATAAAGTGTTGTACCATCGAACAGTGGTATCAATACACCAAAAAACGAGCAAACAAAACAAATAATCAATGGCAGTGTCCGGATCGAACATGCTCAAGTGCAATATCATTATGCGTAGATGATGTGCAAATTTTACGGAATGAATCAGCACACACATGCAAACCAAATACCGCTAAAGTCCTCATTGATATTGCTGTTATTTATTATATATACATATTTATCACCGTACGCAAGAGCTACGGGCAATTATATTAAAAGTTCAATTATGTAAACTAATACGGGACGAATTGAGAGAGAAGTTAATGGGACGAACTGAGAAAAAGAATTCTGCGACGAATTAGTTGGGACGAACTCAGAGTAAACCATTATTATGGAGAGTGTTCGTTAGTTTTAGCTAACCAGTTGAAGAAACTGATTTCACATCCAATGAAAGTGGTAACCTTTGGTTTCAAGGCTGCACACACCTTGTCATCTGTTTTTGGAAAAACATTTCATAATACGGTAAATGAAAACAGGGTAGTATATAAACATGACTGTTGCTAATGTACAAACAGCGAGAGCTGAAAAGCGAAAACAAGAACATAAAGAGGCTTTTCAAGATACTGGATTCTCAAGGATTGCTAACCATGGTCTAGCTACTGGCCATAGAACAAACTGAAACACTGAAATTCTTGCTTTTAAATATCATGCAATAAAAAGAGATAAAAGAGAGGTTACTTATGAATATGTATAGTAAAAAGAAAATTAGGACTATTTATTCTCGAAAAACTTGTATTGTGAATGTTGTTTGATGACGCATTATGTAATATACGGCTTAATAATGAACTATGTTGTATTTTTCTGTTGCGTTCTAGATATGTGCTTCGTTTTCTTTTGTGCTTAAAAGGAGAGGAAAAGTTTTTTGTCATCATTTGATTGATGATGTCTTTTGAATAAAGACGAAACTAGTCTCAAGTGAAACAGCAACTTCAGTACGTACAAGATGGTGTTAATCTTATTATCGATTTTGAAATTCTTTATCAGTAAAAATGCTTCAATTTCACTCAAATTTGCCATCGGTGGATTTGTTTGTAAGTAGTGTATGTGAAGTATTAAGACTGAAATCTTCTCACAGAATGTGTAGTGTTAAAATTCTTCGCGTATGTAAAGACTGTGACATGCTTTAGTGAGACCCTTTTGTGAAAAACAAAGGACTACAAACCAGTGGCAGCTGTTCAATTAAATTATGTATGTTCGCTCTAACTGCAGCGTCGATTATTTCTTCCATAGGCACTTGTCGGGAGTGATCACCATATGCAATATTTTCCCGAATAGTCAAGTCAAATAAAATCGGCTCCTGCCCAATCAGACCAATTTTTGAACGATACCATCGTAAATTCAAACCTTTAATGTTTTTACCATCAACCAACTGTAACAGGGCAATCAGAAAGCAAACTTCTCATGCCGTTAGATATAAAAAATCTTACTATATGGCCTTTATTTGCGTCATAAAATCTTTCGATTAATTGTATGATTGTTGATTTACCACAACCACTTGAGCCTACATAAATATAATCTATGTAATCTATCCGTGAATCGACTCAATACTGTCTCATCTTTACCTACTATCGCAACTGATTCACCTAGTGCACAAAAAGTTCCTGATATAACAACAGCACTTACGAAAAAAGTGACTAACCTGGTTTTATAGTTAACGTCAGATTTCGAAGTATAATTGTTTCTGGTCTGGTTGGGTAACCAAATTTAACCTGATTGAATTGAACTGCACCAGAAAAGCTTTCCTTTTATTCAAATAAGAATAGCATTTATTTTTTGCCGTGTACAGATAGAAAGAAGTTTACGTACCAAACTTTCCTTAGCTGACGAACTTTGATCAATCAACGACTTTCTTTCAAATAAATTAATAAAACTTTTAGCTACAGAAACCGATTTGCCAAATTCTGGCGCCCTGCAATGTTTAATATGTGTTATGAGAGAAATACACCATGGCTTTTCACATAAAACTATAGAGGCATGATCAGGTTATGGTTAACTGTAAATATTGCATTTCTAGCCATTCGTGACACGGATAGATAAATAGATAAACAAAAGAGAGGAGAACAGAAAGAAATCGTGAACATTACACAGCTGATTGAATCTCAGATTAGTTTGAAAAGCGGGATGGATGAACTAAGGAATTTGTTCCTGATGGATTAGATTATTTTGATAAAAAAGGTATCGAAGTAATGCCGAACTCTACAACTCGGTTTCCTAAATTCTGTAGTGAGCTTTTTGTCGCTGTTGACATTAACCTCTTAGTCCCATTCGTACAAAGCATCATGGACTAGATGCAACTTCTACTGATGAGAAATATTAGATTGATAACGAATTAGCTGATAACGAATATTAGATTTAAGACTGGAAATGTAGTCGCCATGGAGAAAAATGCAATCTGGGTGGCAAAAATCAAAATTGGAGTCTCGGTTCGGTACTAGATTCCCAGGAACGGGAACAACTGCAAAGGTCGAGAAATTCTGAATGAAAATGGAGAGGATTGCACTTTTTTCCTTTCGACAAGCATTTAGAGTTGAAAGTTTGAAAAACTGCCTTGTTTTTCTTCAGTAAAATGCGCTGTTCTACATAACAAGAACGACAGTCAAAAAATGGCTCTAGGGATTTTATAGAGTAATGTCGAAGTGTTTATGGAAAAGGTTATCGAATTAGTCCGAGTCGTTGTCAAGAACACAGTGCCTTACGAAGCGCTATTTGTGCTTTTAACAGGCGAGGGACAGCCGATCAAACCTATTAATTTACTTAAAGGTTTGCCAAAATATCCTCAACAATTTCTTTCGAATCGCTGCACTGGCTGTGCGACGTTTTGTTTCGTAAGAATAAATATATTCTACAAAGTATGTCGTGAACAAAATGATCGGAGCATTCTTTCATGATGAAGGTTAGGCAAACTTAGCAACCCTTCAGTTCTAGGGCTTCAAACAAAGTGCCTAAAAAGCATGCAAAAAATAGAGTAACTATAAACTGTTACAGGTTCTGAAAGTAGGCAGGCTGTATCTCGATAAATAAATCACGATTCAGCCATTTCGAAAAAAATGAGTATTGAGAGGTGAAGGAGCCCTAAACAGACCATAAAAATTGGATTAGGTGCAAAACCTTGAAAATTATTGAACTGAACTTGATATTTTTCCTTCGCAAAGAAAAGGGAAACCAATGTAAAATTATATCAAACAAACTATGAATAGTTTTCATACTCAACTGAATGGTTGTTTTAAAAGTAAAGGAATGTTCTTTTCTGGGCGTTGAAATAGGCGTAAAATTACTGCATTTTAGCATTCTTTTACCACTAAATAATAAATTTTTATCACAAAAAACTAATGCAGTAGAAACGGGCTGGTTGAGTTGAATAATCCCTTAGTAAAAGTATCGTTCTGTGCGGATGAAAAATCAGAAAATGTTTTCTTCTAGTTGTACAAAAATTGCCTACGGAAAATTGAATATGACCGTAGGTGAAACTCTAAAAGTACTATCTGGAGTATTAATAATCTCGGATGGGAATACTTAAAAAGCAAATTATTAGAAGGAAACTGGAAGCTACTGCTGTCTTTCTTAGTCGCTTTTTTTCCTAGTTAAACTACCTAGCACATTAAGTTGGTGCGCTACTAACCCAAGTAATTGTTATGGGTTAGTACGCTACTAACTGTTTCTTCTAGAGAAGCAAAATATTATACACTTTGTTTGTCTACGAATGTGAGTAAAAGGTATTCTAGATTAGATAGTGTCAACAGCGACAAAAATCTCACTACAAAATTTGGAAACCGAGTTGTAGAGTGTGACAAAGAGCGCAGCTAGCGTTTAAAATCTGTAGTACGATAACACTTCAGTATGAATGTCGCTCTTAGAGTCCATCACTGTCAGTTCAAGAATGGCATTACTTATAAACCCTGAAGAAAACTACTGTCCATTTCAATGAACGGTGGACTTTAGTGCGACGCAAATATCTTTTTAACGGAAAATGCTAGAGACCTGCGGTTTTCGCTATTCGATAGACAAGATGTGGGGCAACATACAGGCGAAAAAATAAAAACTTTTCAAAAATGTTTTCCGAGTTATAATAACTCGGAAAAGTTAGCGTTAAAAAACGAGTTTTCCCAAAAAAATTTTTGTTTACTTTTTTCCCTGGATTTGTAGATCTCGACGAGCTCTTTCGAATAGTATCTAAAAAGCAACCCCAAAAATTTTGCTTCGTTTAGGAGATATAAGGCTTGCAAGGTAGGCGCTTTTTCTGAAAAATGCACTTTTTTTAAAGAAAAGCGAAAACGAAAAATCTTCATTTTAGATCGATGGGAGCTATATATATGTAGGCTGATCTATATAATCTTATGTACGCTATATACTAACTTTATTTGGCGGTTAACCTTTCTACGGTACAGACCGCTTTCCCTAGGCGACGCTTTAAACAAAGCTGCAGCGTTTTCTTATCGTGCATTTTACTTTTTTATTTACACAAATCAAAGTCAAAAAAATCTTTCTTAACTCTGCGCTACATCAATCTCACTCTCACTATCCGATGTTTCTTGCTCATCCGTTACATTTTCTTCGCCTAATTCCGGCTCCAGTTCACTTTCCACCCAATGATCGGCTTTTTTAAATGAATCTTCATAACGCTGACCTGTACTGATGTTGGTGAGCCGTTGCTTGTAATTGTAAATTGTGCATTTCATTTTTCAATCTGTAGAGTGCTCCATGAGAGATCCCGAGCATGTTTTGTAAACGTTCGGTTGTATTGTACAGATAGCCTGACGGCACGCCATGTTTCTCTGACTCGACGGTCGTTATAACTTTGAAAAATATTTCTTTTTCGGCTTTACTGAAACTGTGACCGGGATGCATTTATGGTATAATACAAAAAACTTGAAAGGAAAAATATATAAGTCTACTGATTTTTTTTATGACAGAAGCAAAGACGAATATCATCTGTTCTGTCTGCAGTAGCCACAAAAAAAGAAATTCACAAGCAACTATGTCAGCTGTTCTCTCTCTCGCTCTACGGCTTTCATATATACAGAAAGGAAATAATTGTTCAGACGCGTGTTATCGGCTTTGTGCTTTTGAACAGTGACGGCTAACATACGACGCATTTAATATGTGGGATCGTGCCTTTGAAATGGACGTGCGGCTTTTGGTTAAAAGATTACTGCCTTTCATATAGATTGCCAAAATCAGGAAGATGGAAGGACATAGGTAGTAGCTCCTGTCGTTCTACAATGAAGATTTTTCGTTTTCGCTTTTCTTAAAAAAAAGTGCGTTTTTCAGAAAAAGCGCCTACCTTGCAAACCTTATATCTCCTAAACGAAGCAAAATTTTTGGGGTTGCTTTTTAGATACTATTCGAAAGAGCTCGTCGAGATCTACAAATCCAGGGAAAAAAGTAAACAAAAATTTTTTTGGGAAAACTCGTTTTTTAACGCTAACTTTTCCGGGTTATTATAACTCGGAAAACATTTTTGAAAAGTTTTTATTTTTTCGCCTGTATGTTGCCCCACATCTTGTCTATCGAATAGCGAAAATCGCAGGTCTCTAGCATTTTCCGTTAAAAAGATATTTGCGTCGCACTAAAGTCCACCGTTCATTGAAATGGACAGTAAATCAAAAGGTTGAAGTATGAAAACAAAAATCTGTCTCCTAGATAAATTTCGCTTTTAACACTCACATTAACATTGCCACCTGAATTGCTTGCATACTGAATACGGCAAACGCAAAAATGCTATAAATAAAACGGCATTTTAAAACAGATCCTTCAGCAATCATGCGAGAAAAGTAGTGGATATTCCGTGTAATGTCCGCGGATTTTTGTAGAAGGTTAGTTTAAAAATCTTTTCTTAAAGTTCGAAGGGATCTTTTGAAAATCAGTTGGTCCAAAAGCCTCAAAAAAAGAAGCATCTGTAATCTTATGGATTGATAGGCCATAGCATCCTCTATAAAACGCGGCTCAAGGGAGGGATTCATTTGATGATTCGAGCGTTGGATAAAATTTCTACGAGTATCAAAGTGATGTAAGACAGTCTATCCGGATCTCAAAAGCAACCGACAAGTGATGCTCGGAGAAATTTTATCAACGCCCAAATCATCAGACATAAATCTCTCCCTTGAGCCGCGTTTTATAGAGGACGCTTTAGGCTATCAATCCATACGATTACAAATACTTCGTTTTCGAGGATTTCAGTTCAATTGATTTCAAAAGATCGTGTCGAACTTCTGCTTTAAATCAAAATTTTTAAACTAGTCTTCTATGAAAGTACATCTTCCGATCTTGGCTATCGAACGGCAAAAAGTGCAAGTGTCTATTCCATTCAATCGAACATCTCCACTTGTCAGCGATCTTGCAGAACCGCTAGCTGAATCGGACTTTGAGGTATTTCTATAGGTAAATTTTATACGCTCAACCATGGTAGTGACCCAGTAATACATTTTTTGAAAACAGAACGTCGCCGGTCACTTTTCGAAGAGCGATAAAAGAGAAAGAGTTGGAATTTTGAACACTTGATAGAGAAGACTTAGTTACATCTGTCTTTAAACCCAACCAGTTTAAAAGTGTTTTTCGAACAGAAAGTTTTGTAAGAATCTTTAAGTAGGTGAGTTAGTTGTGAGAATAAATTTGTTTTTTCATAACTATTTCGCCGAAAATATCGTATTTGACGTGAGAATTACTCGAGACCTTGATTTTAGCGGTTTAAGCATTACATCGGTGTTGTTATAGACTTTCACTTGAAGCTAAATTAGTACAAAAGAAAATACAAGCTACATAAAAATAAACTCATCATAGTGTTTCCTCAGCACTATGACGTATTCTAAAAGGAGGTGATAAACTACAGTAGTAAAAAAAGGAATAAAAATAAAAAGGAACAAGAAACAGAAGAAAGTAAAAAAAATATAAATATTACCAGTGAAAGAACATTAGACGTGGTCGTTCTCCTAATTCATATGTTTCTAGAATTAATTTTTATTAATTTAGAGCAAAATATAGCGCTAAATATGACGCAAATAAAGTACTGTAGGCAGGTGAGGTGCATTAGAGCTTCGCATAAATAGTGAATAATAAAAGGAAAAGACTGAAGCATAAATAGTAATTATCATAGTCGATAGAATTTGCACCATTTACATCACAATCTTAATGTTTACGTGCACTTGCCAGAGTCAAAAGTTCTCAGGAGCCACCGAGCAGGAAATCGCGGACTCTTGGTAGAAAGAAAATTAGGCGGAATTCAGGTAATTGACCCTTCGATTTTTAGAAAAAGTTCAAAAACCTAGCAAAGACAAATTGTACGTCAAATAACCATTTTAGGTTAACACAGAACGTAACTATATCAAAAAGTCATTACATGGTTCGTTTGAATGTTATAACATATTTTTAACTGTAAAGCGACCGTAAAAATAAATTCTGTCATTAGACATCTACGAGCCCTATGATCGGCCACAAACCCTCTCTTCGAAAAATACGTTTAAACTGGTTGGTTTAAAGACAGAGATGTTCAGGTCTCCTCGAGCATATGTTCAAAAGTTCAACTTTCTCTCTTTTTATGTTCTCGAGTTCTTGGAAAAGTAACCGCTGATGTTCAATTTTCAACAGATAAAACTTTACATGAATATATATTCCGAGTTAATTTTCTGATGTCGAAGTAAATGGATCGCATAGTAGAAGACAACAGGTAGAATAAAATAGATTACGCATAATTGAATGCCACGTGATATTCCATTGATATGTAAGTATTTAGTTGATGACCTGTAATAAAGCAAAATATGAGATTACTGAGATACCAGTAATTCAAATATCGAGCAACATTCGTTTTTGTTTTCGCCACAGGGTCGGATAAATCTCATCCAGTTGCTCAGACAAATACCATTTTTAGTATTTCAAAACAATTTTTATGCAACAAAATTTCAAAATATTCAACTGTGAACATTTATAAAAGAAATATTTAACATGTTGAAGGGTAATAGTTCCAATATAAATGTGAGAGTAAAACCTGCTGTTTTGAAATTCACTGTAACTTTATTTAATTAGAATTGTTGGGTGTTGCTTAGCTCACGGACGTTTTGCAAAATTATCTACTATCCATTTCGAAAAAGAAGGCCAGTCACTGTATCTCTAATAACTTTGCACTGGAAGATGCTGGAGACCTGCGGTTTTCGTTATCTGAAACTAAAATCTTGGGGCAACAAGAAAATAAGAGAAAAAGTTTTTGCGAGTACTTTCAGGCGGTGTATCTTACGTGGACATTTTGTAAGAGTTTTCCGGCCACTAAAAAATTTCTCTAGACGTCGACAAGATCGTCCAACTCAAGTTCTACAAGTCTAGACTAATCCCAGCTCGCTATCTCTCGTGGTTCAGGAGTTATAAAGGTTTTCCGCGGACATGCCTATCATTGTCCGGACGCGGTGGAGAACCTGGAAAAGTGTTGAGACGTAGGTAATCGAGTGTGCTGATTATCGTGGCAATGTTTGTTTTGGGTTAAAATGAAAGTCGAGGTCGGTAGGAGCTTATTTCCTAAAAACCGAGTTTTTGCTTATAGGCCATAGAACTTTAAATTGATGGGATTCAGTCATTTTACATTCAAACTTGCTCGAATTTTCAAAAAATACTCTAACCACGTTATTGAAACGGATTGAATCGTAGAAAGTTTAATTAATAAAGCTTTGAACCCCGGGGTTTTCTGGAAGCCTCGTAGAGAACCTCAACACGTAAAACTCGAAGTTTGTAACTTTCTACGATTCAATCCGTTTCAATAACGTGGTTAGAGTATTTTTTGAAAATTCGAGCAAGTTTGAATGTAAAATGACTGAAT